AACACAGCCTAATGATCAAAATTTGTTATTTAGTTGCATTTTATGTAAACATTTATCTTATTGAGTTAGCTAGCAACAACATTTTAAATTCAGAGTTCATTATTTTTTGGCTGCAGGATGTTTCATATTTGTACTCAAGCTCTAATTTGTGAAATTACAGAGTAGGTACTTCTCTCTCTCTCTCATCTCACGATTCTTATGCATGGCCATGTTATGTATTTTCTTTAATAATATTGATGGATCTTCTCCTCTCAGGTTATCTCATGTATGTGCTTACTTGAATGTAATTTCTCCACAGGTTGAAAACCCAATAAGGGCTGAAGGGATGGTTGTGGTGACCCTGAGAACACACGGAGAAGCTGGAAGAAAATGGCATATTTGGGATTACATGTTTGTGACTTTTTTTTCTTTCTTGTTGATGGTGTGTCAATTTTCTTATCAATTTGAATTCAGGTTTGTTCGTATTTTAATCAAACTTCCAGACGAGAAGGTTATTTCACAGAGAGAAAAGTCTCTCCTATATCCTCTTTTATTTAAATTATTAGTAGTTCATGATGTAATGGTTTCTTGTCAWSATAAYCTTGTCATCTCGTCTGCTCCCAAGTGGCCAATGACTCAGAGGCTAAAGTGGAGCTCTCTAGCGTAGCGCAACCTGCCTGTTCCCTGTAGGAGATGATTTATTCATCTTTATAGACGGCGGGAACTGAGAAACCTGCAAGAACTAAATCAGAGAACCCGGGGGTGTTTACCCGGCGAGGTCACTATGATAGCTAAGTCAGCACTTAGTTGTGAGCTGATATTAGAGAATGGGAGAGCTAGAGGGTAGAGATTACTAACTTATCTCTTCTTCCCTGGGGTCTTTATATACTGGAGTCTTCGTGGGTTTGGTGGAGTAGTTCCTGGATTCACGTTGATGGGACCTGTTTTCATGTTAGGTGGGGATAAAGCCACCAACCGGTAAAGTTGCCCACTTCCATCTGAATCGATGAGTGGGTGAGCTAATATAGCCATTACAAGTCATAATCCTGTAAAATATGGCCTGAGCTAATATAGCTTTTACAAGGTTTGTAAATGTTTTTTTACTTTTTCGTTTCTTTTCCTACCTTTTCCTTCAAACCAAACATAGCCTGAGTAAAATTCATGGATCTTCTCCTCTCGTATATCTCATGCGCTACTTATTGTAATGATTTCCAACACGTAGAGATGCCAGGAGAAAAGGATCCAAAGTGTCACACTTTAAGACGTGAAA